ATTTTCACCCTAGGTTCTAAGAGAAGTCATTTTGAAAACGTTTATAATTTCACCACTCTGCACATAATTTCAATTCTCTCTCTTGTCGGCTAGTTCTATCTACATATCTTTTGTGATTTTTACGACTCCGCCTGGCTTATCTTGATAACAAAGTTTGGTACCACATCGACACTTCGGATAGCTTTCTTTGTTGTGATTTTATTGAAACGTTTTTCAAAGCAACTGATAGTCAAGAAGTAAGATAGTGGTTACATATTTTCTTTTCCTTTCCATAAAGACATTATCTGTGACCATCGCATACCTTACGTTAATATAATTAATTTTGCGAACTACCAAGTTAAACCATTTAAACTCAATATTTGTTTGAACTAATTCTCACTTTTAGTCGCTTGCATGTCCGTGTAAATTTGTTTGTAAAATTTGGTGTTCGATCAAAACAACAGTCTCCAAATAACAACCTGCCATATCAAATTTGGGCACTTTATACAATTTAGTGATCAGTTTGGAAGGCAAACCCATTAGAATTATGAAAAATAACGTTCCCTACCGTTTGAGGAAATCTGAAGAGGTCTTACCTCTCAAGCTCTTATACATGTACAATCTTAACACAGTAAAAATGTCAATTATTTCCCTACATTTACCAGTTGATTTGGAATGTATCTGAGTAGGATATTTTAGAGGAAAAAAAAACTTTAAACCGTTGAACCCCTAGGAGTGACTAGCACCTAATTTCTCCTAAATGGTTAATTTTCGTTTGTTCTCGTAGGTGGCTGGCATTGCATCCCAGGGCTGTGGATTCCGCGGGAAGCAGTTATTCTTTTTTGACGTATCAAAACAAGACTTCTTTCTTGAGGGCATATGCGTTATCATTAATCATCAAAAGTTTTTGCAAAGTTTAGTTGTTTTTTCATCACTTTCCTAATAGTCTAGTACCGTTGTTATCAATGAAAGTAGTCGCAAGCTATTTTGCAATTAATTTAGATCATTCTGATTTTCAATAAAGCTACGATTAAAGGATTTTTTTTAAGAATTTGTGTATGATCTGCAGGTTTGCCTGGCACATGGAGAAATTCCGTGTAGATGTAGCGGGTTGGGCATATTTCCAGTGGCCATGCATGAAGTTTGTCCCCTGTAACAGATTCCGATCACAGGGCATCCTAATTTGATCACAAATAGCCTTGAAATTGCTTTTATTGCCAGCTGAGGCCGTCCACATAATTATTTATTGTTGAAGCTCGCTACACGTACACTGCATGCCTGAATCTCATCTGAAATGCCCTAATTTCCAAGTATTACTCTATCATACAAAATATTATTGAAAAAGAAATATTTTGGTTTGGAGAACATACACTGATCTAACGAAGGAAAAGCAAATTTCGCAATGCCACCTCATATCATAACAAACCTCCAAATCTTTTTGCAAGGGCCTGATAGAGAAAATTGAACGAAAAATTGAAAATAAAAGAACGAAAATTGTCAAATTATCATTGATTCCACACTGGATAACCCAAAAAGTTGTGTAGGTAATAGCGCATTCTCCTCTTCTGGACGCTTCAATTAGGAGATTTTCAAGCCTACTTTTCGTTTCTGTGGGCTCCCTGTGTCCTATATGGTCTTATATTGCAACGGGAAGTTAATGCATAAGAACAAACTGGAAAAATAACATAGTGCATGCAAGCGATATGTAGCTCAGAGAAAAATTTGGTAAAAGTGTCATTAAAAAAGAGAGTCAATAAAGAATAAAACGGATCAACTTTACAAAAAATATGTGATATTATGTTCATTCAGCCACTTTCCATTTTGAGCTTTAACGCAGCCATATACGGACATTTTGCTCAAACAGACACGTTTTAGCAGTTTGGATGAGCAATGACGTCTATTTCTCTCACATTAAGAGAAATATCTACACGCAATACGGTTTACACCTTCAGCCGATTAGCTGGAACTATAGGGTCTGAAGATATTACAAACCAAACATCTGGGCCATTCGCTTATTCTTTATTCAATAAGATATGATAACAACTGAGTTGGTTCAACGCCTTGCAGTCGCACTGTTTTGCTTGAGGAGCACGGTGATACTTTGTAGTAAGTGTGAAAGCAGTAATTATTAATTGATTCGCATCTCGATTAGATCGACTGTTCATTGCGTCTTTACTAGCCATCGAACCCAGCTTACTATATCACAGAAATATTGCAACCCTACAAACCATCAAGAAGCTTAAGATCTTCTTATAAGAGGCTTCTGACAATACCATCAGCAAAACTGAAGAAATATGGCTGAAGATCATTCTCGTTTGCAGCACCTACAATTTGGAACTCCTTGCCAGAGCCCATGCTTAATCATGATGATATTTCAAAATTTAAAATTTCTATAAAGACTTGCTTATTCAAAGAACACTTTTATTAAAGTTCTGTTAGAAATATTGCGATAAGAATTTTAACTTTTTATTTTTACTTTTAGTTTTAATCTTAATTTTTAAGTACAAATTTTTAATTAGTACTTTTATATATTTAAGTTTTATTATTGGTAAAATTTTTAATCGACAAAATTTTTCGGTCTTGAATATTCAGTTGTGAAGCGCCATGACCATGCGGATATGGCACCATAGAAATGATCATCATCATCATCATCATCATCATTATTATTATTATTATTACATTCTAAAGGAAATTAAAGGAACAATTGCTTACAATTGGGATCAATTACGGAGTAACCTGAAAAGAGTACGGTTATATCTTATTCTTTAGAATATTAACCAAAAAGGATGCCGAAAACTCTCGCTGTGATCATAATGTTAACCCTGGTTTTTGTTTACTTGTTAATCCAAGAACTTCCTTTCGTATGGCATGAAGCATTAGAATTTCAGGCAATCCTCTCGCTTCCCTTTGGGATTTTTAAATTAATTTAGTTCATTTATTTGTTATAGGGTGTGTCTGATCCTTTTTCAAGGAGCAGATTCTATGGAAAAAATCCAAGAGGAAAATTAATAATAAACGTGATCTGGCGTATTGTGGACCGGAAAAAAAAATTATTCGACAGAAAAACCGAAAAACTATCGCTAAGATAACTATATTCAACCTGATTTTCAGCCGTTTCCAATACTGTTCTGTTAACTTCCGCCAATTTTAATCAGGCAATAAATTCCGGTAAACCTTGTCGGCGTTTCTGATGTAGATTCTCGTCTAACGGCAGTTTTCGCAAGAATCACTGGTTTTTAAAATAAGATACAATATCATAGGCTATATCTTATTCCGCGTCAAGAAACCCCTTCATTTAGATTTGCGTGCGTAGGATTTTAATTTCGCTTTTACCTTTAACCTTCTGTTAACTTACATGTATGGAAAATTACATCTGCTCCAAAATAGTCTGGATTAAAACTTTGAAAACGAAAAAGTGTTTCAGTATTGGCAGAGCACGTGCTCATTATAATTCCTATCGGGAAGACGGACCTTCGACCACAAGTCCGTCGATCAAACTATTGGAGTTTAGTTTTTCAACTCAATCAATCAATCAAATAAATCCTTTATTTGAAATGATAGTTGTTAAAGCTGTAAGCTTCAACTGGATTCATTTGTTGCTTTTCTCGACAGTTCATTTTTTGTGATCTTCAAGAAAACTCTTGGACTCTGTCAATTGCTTATTGAACCGCACATTTAATCTAGGAAAAAACTTTTGGATCAGAAATCCAATTCTTTTAGAGTAACGATAACATTTTCTTTTTACATGCACATGGAAAGATAAATGATAGGCCGTGTACAACTTTCTTGGTTCCTTGAATACTTTTCGAGAATGATGCCACAATTCTTGCTAAGGCAATTAAGTTAACCCCGCTTTTTGGTAACATACAGAAAGCTTTCATAGTTGGTGTTAACAACAGATATAATTTTTAAGAGTCCCATTTTAATCAACCGAAGTAAAAAAGTGGTTTTTAAGGAACAGCGTCACTGTGTGCTGCGATACATCGAAAAGTTTAAAACAGTTGGGTAACTGTTTCCCCTTTGCGTCACCGGAACTGGTTGTGAATATCTATTGTTCTCTATCTTTGCCATCAGCGGATGATTCTTTCAAAACACGTTATTTCCTTAAATCAGAATTTTCAAGGAAAATTTCAAGGAAAAAAAAACATGAAATATGCAAGGACAAAGTTCACATGAATAGGAGTGCGGTCCTTTTAGTCTTAAAATTTACCACTTCACTCCTTTAACGAGGAGAGGAGTTACTGGATAAAATCCAACGTGGACAGAAATTGAAGATGTTATTTTTACTGTTTACTAAAGGACTTTCGAGTATAGAACTTCGGAAAACCCTCTCTGAAACTGAACTGTGTCCACCTCGATTTCCCGCTGTCTTCAAAAATGTTTTTAAATCAGTTATTCATAAGCCGAAAATTATGGTTAATCTTACAGCAATTTTTCAGGTTCACCGTGCTAATGCATTGATGCACATTTGAGAACGTCTTGCGTTAGGGATCTTAATCATTCATACTGCTATCGCTACACAGGTAATGTTGTGCGTTACCTCATAAAGCGTTATCCTCGGCTGTGACTAGCGGGTTTTCATTAGCAAATTCAGAAAAACATCACCCCGAAGCATGTCCAGGACACTAGACAAATCCCACTCTGAAAGGAAGCGAAGTGTCAGAACCCGTGACCTTTTTTGTTATAAACGTAGGTTAGAAGACTCCATTTTTGAAAGACATCAACAAGGGAAGATCTAGGGAAATTCCAGACCATGGATGCTAAGAAACATCTAAGAAACACAGCAGCAAAAACGCCTTTCCATGGCAGGCTGTTGGATAAACACTTTATAGAAAAGCGCTAATCACAGCTGGTGAAAGCTGGCTAATCACAAGCTGGCTTGACTTTTTCCTCTTGAGGTGACGCTTGGATATTCACCTTTCGAAAATTATGATAGGGATGTTGAATCAACAATTTATGCATCTTACAGCCGTTACGAAATTTGGATGAAGCAAATAGCAAAAAAATATCATGCCATCTTTCTTTTGACAGCACCGATCATAAAGGCAGGGAAAGACAATGTAACGATTTTGACACCAGGCCTGTTTGGCTGTAAGAAAATTTCCTTCCAACGTCCTTTCTCTTATGGACAGCAAGTTAAGGTATTCGCTTCATTTGGACATACTGTAAAAAGTCCAACACATCGGTTTGGTGCAGCAGTCTGGGTGGAGTCTGTTTCTACTGGTGGTTTCACAGTCTGTGTGTTGGAGTATGGGGAAGGTTCAAAAGGTTCTGCTGAAGTGAACTGGATTGCTTTGCAATCTACACCTCTTGGATCTCAGCTAGGAACTGTGGCGTTGGATCCATGGACTACCGGAACCGAGTGTATTACTATCAACTTTGAAAAGGTTCGATTTAAGAGAGTTTTTATTTCCTTTTGTTACAATCATCTGACAAAGGGAAAAACATAATTTCCGATAGAAGTTAAGCCAAAAAGCGTGTAGAATTATTGCTTGTAGTTCCGATGCTAACACTGACATGGCATTATCAGTAGACCATTTAACTGTCCTCGAGAGAGTTTTTATCTGTCAATTTTGCTTCAAACTTACTTCGTAAACTATTCAATTTCTTTCCTCTTTTTTTGTTTGTTTTTCTTTTAGCGCTTTAAGACTTCACCGACTGTTTTAGTATCTGCCTGCCATGAGATTCTGAAGAGACCACAAGATGCTATGGCTATTTGGGTAAAAGACTTGAATAAGGACAATTTTAAAGTTTGTTTCAGGGAGACAAAGATTCTTGATGGATTACACAAAGATATCCGAATGGTAAGGGAATTATTTCAACCTCAGTATTCGATAATTTATTTATGTGCTCTTACCATTCTAATAAGCTACCTTTTGTCATTATCCAGTCATCATATCAGTTCATTCTCTGAAAGAATGATTGGCTGTAACACTCATGACTAATCGAGATAACCTTCTAGCCGTCTAATTAACGGACCGACAGTCTGATTGACTTATTGAATGACTGATCAACTGATTAATTAGGTGACTGAAAAACTTTTGATTGACAGATAGGCCGACTGAGTGACTGGCTGACTGTTTGTTCAACTCACTGACTTATTGACTGACAGAAGGATTGACTGACCTACTGACTGGCTGACCAATTGAATGGAGTGATTGAATAACATAACTCTCTCGCTGACTAGCTTACTGACTGGCTCCTTAATGAGTGATTAGCAATTCGTATCACTAACTGACTGAATAACAGACGGACGGAGTTAATGAGTTAATGACTAACTGACCGATGAGCAATAAATCAATGAATAAATTGATGCATTTTTTAAATTTTGTCAACCTATTTATCAATTATTAGCCATTTCATTTTACAGAACTGGATGGCATTTACAACTCTTAAGGTTGTTAACTTCACTTTAACCAAAACTATAATGCTGAACAATGCAAGCTCAAAATCCCATCACAGTAACCATGCGTACTGTCAGGTCAGGTTTAAACTTATGATAGGGTAGCTTAGTCATTTAATTGACACCAATTTAATTCAATACAGATTCCAATAAAAAAGGGGATAGATTAGTAGGTGTAAAAGGACCTTTATCGAAGAAAGGAATTCTGTGACGAAGTTTAAATGAGATAAAGTAATATCAAATGGGCTAAGATAATGTGATTCCCACGGTTGTTGTGCAGGGGGATGGCGGTGGTGGTAACGTAATACTATTCTTGCGAATTCAAAGAACTTATTTCATTCGTTTTTCTTTATATTTCAGAGTATAAACTTCACCGATCCGTTTTATGCTCCCCCTGTTGTGGTAGTGACACCAAAGCAGGGTTACATCAATAACCTATCAGACGCTCTTCCCCCTCAATGCAGTGCCATTACAGCTTGGGTGGAGGTAAGATTCCAGTGTTATAGCTGTTTTAGAACATTTTAAAGGATTGTACTCGGTAGACAGTATGTGTAATGGGTGTGAATTGGAACGAACAAGATATTTCTATCGGCTCTTTGGCGGAGTTAGTAAAGTGCTAGTTGATATCGCTTAATTTCTATATCAATGAACAATTTTTGAACGCAAACAATGTGCACCATGGCATCGCAATTGACCTCTTTTCAAATAGCGCATTTTGTCTTTATAATTTCAGAATATGAAACATTTAAAATCGGAATGCAGTATTTTCAATTTTTAACAAATCGATGAGGATCAAACGTTTGCTCTTGACGTCTTCCAGCTTCTTGTTGTTTCCATTATTGTTATTTACGTTTATTTTTGGCCGTTAAAGTAATTAACTTGACGGCAAAATATATTTTCCTCTTGACTACAGTTCACCTCAAGGAAAGATACGAAGGTTTGTGTAAGAAAATACCAGGGCAAAGAGGAAAGTAACAGCGCCACTTCAGTTGATTATGTTGTCGTAGGAGGTGAGTGCCATGATGCATTTTATTTTCGGCGACACATTCATTTTGCGATTTTGAGGTAAACATACATCTGTAATCGCCAGAATTTGCCCAATTTTGTGGATTAAATTTTGAAAGTAGTTTGGTTTTTTGAATGAGACAAGTAATTTTTTTCTCGGAAATTGATGTTATTAAACGATTCCAGGAGAAGATACAATAGCTTCGATATAAGCAGGAATCGAGTCGAAACTAACATCAAATAATTGATTTGTCATCTTAAACATAGTCAGAATTTGTCCATTTTTTTCCCCTCTGGACCTTCTTGATATTGGAAATAAATAATTTACCCTTTTCTGTTTCGTGTTGGTAGCTATTTGTTGTTTAATTGTATTTTTTTTCGTCGTTTCACTTTCGCAAAAAGGCGTAGCTACTCTAAATTTTGGAAAAAGTTTCATACTTTCGTATATTTGGAAATTTTTTTGGAATATTCTTAAATTATTTGAAGATCGTTTTTAGTAAAAAAAAACTCTTTTTTTTTTTTCGACGACGTTTAAATATGTCTTGTCAAATACAGTACATTACTAAAACAAACGTACCTGAGAAATAATTGTATTCTATTTTCTTTTGAAGACTTGGATCCGTGCCTGCACGTTACCTGCTTATTCTATGGTCTGTGTAAGGCCTTTGGACCGCATGACGCTCGCTGTGTGTGCTTAGACCTCTGTCCGTCGCTCCTCGAGCCCGTGTGTTCGTCAAATGGCACAACGTACGGCAACGAGTGCTTGTTCAAACGAGAGACGTGTCTTTTGAGGCGTAATTTTACCGTGCAGCATCCAGGTCGTTGTGAGGGTAGGGGTTTCCAACGGTTTAGCTTTTTTATTGGGCTGAAAACGTTTGAAATATATATGTAAAGTATATGTTATGATGGTCGGGCTACAAAACATGGACATCTGACTAAAACACTGACAGACTGACTGTTTTGACTTGGCTTGGCTTGACCCAGTTTATTATGGCCAACTGACTAACTAACTAACCAACTGACTTACAGGCTGACGGACCAACGGACTGATCATGACGGACTGGTGGACTGACGGACCGACCGACCAGATTGTGCTCGTAAAAAATCATGGAAAATTTTTTCATTTGACTGCTAAAAAAGTTGCTAAAAATCCAAAGTTGCTGAAAATCCAAAAAGTTATTACCTGCTCGTAAATATATCAGCGAAATTTAGGAATTCTCTTGAGTTGAACGGAACAAAAGACATGGTTCATTTGACGCGTTGCCGAACGATATGTGGCAACTTGAGCGAAAATAGCACTATTGCATGATTGCATTCTCAGAGTCTAAAATACCATATATTTCTTGAAGTTTTCAATGAAACTGTTGAATTTGTCGTGCTTCATATGTGATCTAAACCTATATTTTGCTTAAAAATGCTTATTAAGTGACATCGCATTAAAGCAAAGAGAATCAAGAAGCAATATGGTGCTCTCTCTCTCTTTCTCTCTCTCTCCCTTTTTTCTTTCAGTTTTTCCATTCCAGCGCGGTCGCCAACACATGCCTCACATTCCAACACTGGGATATTCTCACTGTGTAGTGATCCATCTGAAACCTTACGTGTTCTATCCTGACAAACCCATTGAAGTTCAGATCACTGTCAATCACATTGACACCAGTGACAAGTCGTATGTACACGATGCAGCAGTGTCATGGGTTGAGAACACCAATTACGATAGATTCACCGCTTGTGTCATGGCAGCAGGTTTCAATGAGCGAGAATCGAGCGCAAACGTCACGATTGATTGGGTGGCGTATCAGGGAGCTCCGGTCGGTGGGCTGGCAGGCGAAAAACGGATATCACAATGGTGGACTGGAACGACTTGTGTAACCGTGAACTTTCCATCAGTAAGTAGCTAGCCTTTGTCCTTTTTTCTTTTTCATCTCCCATCTTTTAACACATTTATTTACTCGTTCGTTCCTTTCCTGTATGAGTTATTGCATACATGCACGAATGTGCGTGTATGCAACTCAGTGTCGTTAATTGTCTTTGAGAAGACTTCAAATGGATCCCTTCCTAACTTGATGGTGAAGTTTCACCCATATCGGTGGGAAATAATTGTCAGAGTGGTAAACCCCAAACAAAATTGAAATTTCTTTCTGTGTAGGATGCTCAAGTACCAGGATAAGATCGAGTCCCAGGAGCTTGATTGGCCATTAATGACGGAGCGTTTGGCGGTCTCTATCGCGTAAAAAGTTATTCCTCTTTGTCCATAACAGTCCCTTACTTTTTATGCATATTCCACAATTTCTAAAATGCCACTGCTGCTAGTGCGCAGGTCCTCATTAGTATTAATTGGGTCAGAGGTACTGTAAGAATAAGCTTTCTTTGAAAAAGAACATTACACGGTAACCAGGGCGGGGTTGAACCTGGATATTTCTAACCCCTGGACATTTTTCTCTTATTGGAAGAAGAAATTTCCGAGTGCACCCTCAGTATTTGTAACTGCCAAGCACCATCATTCAGGACTGAAGCGTGACGCAGCTAGTATATGGATTGAGGATGTCACGCAGTCCTCGTGCAAAGTTTGCCTGAGGGAGCTCCAGAACTACGCAGGATCCCACAAGGATATTTCTGTTGTGAGTATGTAGTTCACAGGCCTATCGTCGGATTACAATTAGAATCTTTTTTCTTCCTTTGATTTGGTATTTATTTTCATTCATTTTTGACGCAATAATCTCGGCTGTTATGATTAATCGCGTGTATGCATGCAGTTAAGCGCTCCGTCTTCAGCATGCCCAAAGCTATTCAAATACGGCGTCAAGGTTAAAGTACTGTTTAAACAGATCCCTGACACCAAATGCTGACAACAATGTGTTAAAGAACGTACAATTCTCGTAACTAAGTTCGATCTTGGCACGATACTACCAGATGTAACGAAACACAGCTGGAAATGTTGTTAAACTGGAATTTTGGGTGAACATTGTAAGGGAAAAAGTGCTAAAAGATAAACAAAGATCCAAACATACGGAACTATAAAAACATGTGTGTGAACTTCTCGTCCTATTTCGACTTAGCCATCACGCTTAACAATATCTTGAAATGTTCATGTGTTCGTATTTTTATCAGAACTGGTTGGCATTCATGAATCTTCACAAGCCCCCCTTCTCAGAACACAACGTGATTCACTTTATCAACAACAGAGCTCCCCCAGACGATCAAAATAATGCCTTCTGCAAGGTCAGTTGTCATTGCAGGTTTAGCTATTTTACTGACTATTTCAAGCGTTTGTGTGTGTTATTTGATTTGATAAAGGCCTATTAGTGACTGACCAATGATCATTGCTCCTTGGCGTACATACGAGACATTTTCCGTTCTACCTTACCACTAATTCGAAGCCAGGCGCGTGTTCGAGGATAGGTACTGATTCACGTGTTTACGCTCTCTATTCTTCCTCTTTCAGGATGTTAACTTCTTCCACGCCTACCTTACAGTCCCAAACGTAATTGTCTCTGCTAATCACTCAACAAAACAAGGGAACTTGAGTCCTGTTCACAATGGCATAACCCCTTGGGTAGAGGTAAGTTAGATTCTAGACAATATTTTCTGTCTGAAAAAGCCTAATGAAATATGTTATATCTGTTTATCATACTGATTCAAGCTTATTTTCAAGGCGCCATCAAGAAGTTTAGTGTCGTGGCAAATAATTCCATTTATGATGTGAAGCGCCCGGCATTGTCTAGTACTAGTTATTTTCCCGTCTGGCCCTCTCCATTCAGTAAATAAAAACATGAAAACTTTTTTCTTTTGTTCAGTATATCAACAGGAATGGCTTTCGCGTTTGTTTTAAAGAATTATACGAAACAAAATATGATCCTCTTTCAATTATCTACACGGTCATGTCAGGTAAATACTGAGGTTGCTTAACACCGTCACAAAGTAATGTACTGTTGAATCAGGACCAAACATCATTCTCCACAAAATCAAAGTCTTCTCTTACCCCTCTCGCCTAAAATATCCTTCCAATAAATTTTTGGAAGTTCACAAATGTTTTAATAGAAGAAAAATAGACAACAGAGGGAGGCAGTCATTCATTGGCTGGGATATGCTAATTTACCTCATTTCTCATGGCTTTACAAGGAAATTGCAGTCTATTATACCCCAGACATACGCATTCCCTCTCTCACTGTCCTCCGTCAAGAAACAGTAGCTTTAATCTCTATGATTTCCGTCATTATATCGCTTTGATTTAGATCATTAAATCGAGTCGATGCTTTATGTGTACCCCTACGGAAGTAGACTATGAAGAGTGACTGATGCAGAAAATCGGTTAAGTTGACACAACACACGAATGTTAATCTCCTTTGACTGTACTTTTCTTCGTGTGTGTTAACATCGCTCTAAATAAATTATTCATTTCTCATGTAGATCTATGCCAGCCTGGATGGGATTATTTCAATGGTTATTGTTATTTCATAAGCTCCGCTTGCACCACTTGGCCAAATGCTGAAACAAAATGTTCTAAAATGCACTCAAATCTTGTGACAGTCCATAATCAAGAGGAGAATGTCCACCTTCAACATCAGCATAATGGAGAGGGATCCTGGATTGGGCTCAATTATCGAAGCGTAGAAGGATCATTCGTGTGGGCAAAGAAAGGCATAAGTAGCTTTAGATTCTGGGCGGCAAACCAACCAAACAATCACACAGATCAGGACTGTGTACACACTCTTGGCTCAAACAATGGATACACTTGGAGTGTCGTTTCATGTAATGACTGTTTCAAATTCACTTGTTTTAAAGGTAAAAAATTAGCACTCGATTTGACTTCACCCAGCCATTTTAGTACCCTAAAATCTGGGCACTAGGTGGGGGAGAGAATAATCGTAAAAAAATACCCAGCGAGGACTGTCATTTTAATGAATCCTGTGATATTTATGCCGCATACTAGATTTTCTTAACTGGAATATGTTTGCTTTTAAAGATATAAACGAGACTCATTGGTGTAATGTCAATGCTTTATGCCAAAATACTTAAGGATATCACAAAGGCGTTTGTAAGGCCGGATTTAATGGAGACGGGGAAAATTATCTAGTTTAAGTAAATTTTATGATTATCTTTTAAAAGCACTGCACTGTCGTTAAATGCATTTTGTAGCTTTAAAAATGAATTGAAGCCCTTGAGCAATCCGTAGGAAATCCGTCGGCAATCGGTGAGCATTTCCCGGTTAATTAATCCGTATATAATCCGAAGATACGACGTAGGCAATCCAAAGAGACTCCGTGGGCACTCCGTGGCAATCCGAGGGCAATCTATGGGCAGTCTGTGGGCAATCCGTGGGTTATCCATAGGCAATCTTTGGGCAATCTGTGGGCAATTACTTGGGAGTTACTGGTTCGTTGAGATTACCTTTTCCAGACCCGCTCAGCCACGTGTAATCAGGGTGCGTATTTTGTCGCCCACAAGTTATCGCCACTTAATGACAAGGTGTAACGATAAACAAAGTCAGTGTGGAGTATAATTTTTAACGGAATATCATTTGCTTTCCAAGATATAAACGAGTGCACAGTCAAGTCCCACCGGTGTGATGTCAATGCTGCTTGTCAAAATACTGAGGGATCTCACGAGTGCATTTGTAAGACTGGATTTGAAGGAGACGGGGAAAAATGCTCTCGTAAGAAAATCATATTATCATTTTAAACGATGCCATCTTCAATTAACTGAAACTTTAAGTTGATTGGAAAACACATTGTAGCTATTTCTGTGACTTTCAGGAATAACGTAAAGACAAGTTTTTTCCCCTCGCGTTTTAAAAATGGATAATTATTCAGGTTGTTCATAATGACCCGCAATAAAACGTTGCTCTGGTTAGAAACAAGGACATATAAAGCAAAAATGTTTAGTAAGATTTTTCTCTTCCTCTTAGCGTACAACTTTAACGTAAAAATGTTTCTCTTTCAACAACTGGAAGATTTAGCTTATTTTCCTACAATAATAAAGAAGGTAAAAATACTCTTTACTGCTGGATCAGATTTGAAAGGATCCTAAGGTTATAAATGACACATGCGTGTTTTCATTATAGTTTCTTGGGAGTTTACAACAAGTGGACGAAGTGGAAGATATGGCGTTATTCAGACCTTCACTGTTCCGCGTACGACCCTTTACCAAATAAAGGCCTGGGGAGCTCGTGGTGGGACACATTCATACAGTTATGGATATAGACCTGGAACATACTATGGTGGTAGGGGAGCATCCATAGAAGGAAAGTTCAGATTGAATAAAGGAACAGTGCTGAATATTGTGGTTGGACAGCGTGGTGGAAATTCTGTGGAGGTTAAGGGTGGTCGATCCACATCCTTAACAGCAGCTCAGCTGGGACTGTCTGTAGAGGACAATGCTGGAACCGGAGGAGGGGGTGGTAGTTTTGTCTATACCACAAGTAATACCCTGTTATTAGCTGCCGGAGGAGGAGGTGGTGCGTCGGGTGGTTACAACGGAACGAATGGTCAGACGAGAACGAGTGGAACCAGTAGTGTGGGAAAAGAACCATCATGGGTTAGGAAGGGAGGCACTGGAGGGCAGCCAGGCGAATGTAACAGAGCAGGTGGTGCCTTTCATGGGGGTGTAGGTGCTGGTTGGCATGGCGCTGGTTGTACTCGATCAAGCACTCACCACGGAGAACGAGGTGGGTCACGTGCTGAAGGCTGGACTGGTGGTCAAGCCGGTGGCATGAACAATGGAAATAACGGCGGACCAGCACCAGGAGCAGTAGGAGGTTTTGGTGGTGGAGGTGGAGGATCAGAGGATAATGGTGCATCAGGAGGAGGTGGCGGGTACTCTGGGGGAGGTAGCGGTACTCGCTCTAACCAGGCTGGAGGGGGAGGGGGTTCGTTTTGCCGTGGTCAGAGTTGTCGGGGTGTAACTGGCGGTAACCCCAATGATAACGGACTCGTCAAAATTATTGAGTTATCTTCACAATAACTAGCGACCAAAAGGATTTAAAGTTGAAGTTATCTGACAGATAATTGAGTCAAGCTTTTTTCTCTATCGAAGTGATAAGAAAATATGGTTATAAGCAGCACTTTTAAGCAACACTTTCACTTCAAATATTTTTACTTAATAAAATCACAGGGAAAGAACAAAAAATAATTTTAAGGAGGATCTCATTGGGATTAACCGTTCGTCGTAAAACGGTGAAAAGTTTTAGCTGTTAGGCGTAAAATTTAACAAATTTTATTAGATAGTCATAAAAAATGTGAAATCTATTTTTTTTCCTCTTAACCGTAACGGAAAGAAGTTAACCGTTAGTTATAAATCATCCAAAGTTTTAACCATTCGCCGTAAAGGCCATTACTCCGGCCATTGAAACTCTACTGACTTTAAAAACAACGGGTCAGCAGTACTCAATTAGCTCCTAATATTGCTGTGCCGTAGTCATATGGCGGGTACTGACGAGCATGCAGGAAGATTTCTGTAAGCCATTTACTGAACTTCTGCATCACTTTGTCGACTCTCGAAAGTTTAATTTTTTTCGCTAGCCGCAGCAGGTTTTGTGGATGAAGCGTATGATGCTGTAATAGTCTTTAGTGTTTCTCTTCTTTCTCATAAAACAAACTGCCGCTTCCATGTCAAACGAATGTCTTGTAACAAAGTATTCAATTACAGAAGTAATACCCTAATAAGGGGTTAACCCTTTAACTCCCAAGATCTGATTGTTAATTCACATTTCCTTGTAAATTAGTTACGAGTACTTGGTGCTAGATCAAGATAGCAGCTTCTCCCTGATAAGTTTTAATATTCTCATTACCTGTTTGCCGAATAATGTATGGATAAATTATTAGGAGAAGTTTCATGTTAATCACTACCGGGAGTTTAAGGGTTAAAACAGGTTTCATTCACTTTAAGATTATTTTCTGATCATTTCAGGGCCCAAAATCAAGTTACAATTTCTATTCAACAAATAATATTCCGTGCAGTTTACCCCGGTGGCTTTCATCTCTGATAATTAGGGCCATCTGGATTTCCACGACTTTCGCGGGGATTGGTCACGCAGTACTTCTAACGAATCTTTAACGGTATCCTGCGCTGCAAAAGGCGTCAAATGTCGCCAAATGTTTTCGAAATTTTGCGGCCATAGTGTTGTTCCCAGGTGTTAAGATGCACTCTCTCTATCGCGGTCCGGTGAATTTTAGTTCGAAAATCGATTTCTCTCAAACTTTCCTCATGAATCTCTCTAAGTCTAAAATTAATCGAAACCACCTTAGTTCATCCACAGTTTTAAAAATAATTTGTTGGCAGAGCGGAATTCGCTTCAGTTCTCAAAGGCCCATATTTACGACGCATGCCCTCTTAAAGCGATCCGATGCATTTCGGTTCAAAAAATCGGTTTCTTTCAAACTTTGCCCACAAATCTGTAATAGGTTAAATTTATGATATAACATAAAATACTTAATTACTAAAAAATCATAAGTTCCGCTTCATTTGGAATTCAGGGACATCTACGGGTCCTTTCCCAAAGCAAAGATTCGTTTGGGATCAAGAAAAGAGAAACATTTAGTGCCAGTATATTTTACGCGAAACCTTAAAGTTTGTAACACTTCATCCACCCTGTGGATATCGTGGGCAGAGCCCAAGCGAGGGTAAAAATATGGGAACGAACTAAGGCATAGGGTCTAAAAGGTATTTTATTGAAGGCTTCATTTCACAGTTAACATGATTTTCCTATCAACAACTTCGCAACCTGGTACAATGTTTTAAACTCTGTGCCACTTTCATGCTGAAGTTGTTCATACTGTAAAAGACATGTTTGATGATCATGTTTGAGCAAGGTTATCAAGCAGTTTGAATAGCATATTACGACAATGAACTAAAACTATCGAATGAGCTGCAAGGGCACTGGTCTCTTATACCTTGGATCGACAGTCAGCTCATTCGCAAAGAAACCCGATGTAATTTAAAAATAAATTGGAAACCATCGGTTCTTTCGCTTGTAAAGAAAAGGAAAAAAAGCACACACTTGTGACTTACCCGCCTTTGTAAGCATAGTAAGCAGACTAAATGCTTCCAATATTTTTAAGCACGATAGAACCCCGGTAGAAGTCTTTTCCATCTTCAGTTTAAGACCTTTCCGTTGGTTTTACTTTGAACTGGAAATAGCAGTCTCCAGTCTCCAGTCTGTTCTTCAGATCCTCTACATGCTCGTCTACAAATGAGTGAAAACCCTCAAAGCTTTTCTACGACCATCTTCATCGTAGCCATCTTTCCAAGCAGAATGTCTGGAATACCGGTGAAGTCCTGAGTCCAAACTCACCCGAAAGTGGATGAGGAAGTAATTTTCTCCTGGAAATGTTTTCTTGGAATTAATCAACTCGTCGCGTTAAACTGTTTTACAAAGCTCTAGAAGTTCTGCCCTTTTCCGCCCTCTTACCGTTTAAAAAATTTTAAATATCTCTTCCCTTTGAAAACTTCTGTAGCTCTGGAACTTGCAGGTTTACGCATCATAATCTGTGATGTTGAGATGACTCCCATTCCTCCCAGCCTCGACTTGGTGCTAAAAACTAGTCACCAGACTTTCTTTCACAAACAATTCGAAACTAGCTTATTGACAGGTGTCAGATCTGAGAGACGAAAGTCGTTTAATTGCGACACAGAAGCGAGATGATAAGGTTATGATTTCTCCTGAATGAAATCCAGTCTAAAATTTAATGGTAGTAATTTTTTGCGGGAGTTAAGTTAATGTGCAAATTATCCTTGACCCTCATAAATATCTTGTTTAAATATTTTCGAAAGTTGCTTGTCATTCTCAGTCATACAATGGTGTAATTTGATCGTCCGAGTGAGCGTAGTCCTGAGAAGGACTGTTGTCGGTAGTGGTGACTGACGTTTCGACAACCTGAGCGGAAGTCATCTTCAGAGTCAAGTGAATAGTTGTTGTCAGTCGAATAGTGGAAGGTTTACATTTATTGTATTCGCCTTCTCTCATTTTGTTTATTTTTGTGCGAACGTATCATAGGATCCCCCTGCATTGCACGCTATATCATCTTGCGCAGGGTGGTCATAACAATAAATGTTGCAATCACGCCAACCCCTTAATGACCAGAACCATTTTATTAGTTTGAAAATATCAGACAACACTATTATCACCAAATACTCCTAATAAGTATCGTCTTTGGGAAAAAAAATTATTTAAACTTCGGTACAACGCGATAAAGGATTTATCGCTTGTAAAATATCCATCTCCGGAACTCTTCCTTTGTAACAATTGATGAGTGCACTGGAGTAATTCATCGAACAACGATGGATAAATGTTACAAGATTACGATGACCACCGTGAAATTAAAATATAAATAGATTCTTCAAAACTTTGAAAAATATATCGAACATCGTGGATTTTATCTTTAAACAGTTTTGTGATATCCTAGTGAACTAATTTATTCATGAAGCTGGGATTGAGTTCGTTTATTCAAAATTGCAGTTGTTAAAATGCACAAGAATTTCTTGTATAAAATGGCAAATTTTTTTAAAATTCTATCACCTCAGATGTTTTCTGAAATTAAAGTTACTCTTGTAGCAAAACCGACAGAAAGAAATGAAATTGGAACCATTTCAAAAAGTTTTCAATCCATTCGTCTAAAATAGCATTGAAATGATAAAACATTAATGAGATTTATTCGAGAGATTTTCAACACAAAATACGCCGACTCTGCCGTTGCAATTAGAATGACTTTCAGTTCGAAAACATCTTTTGTCCTTCAGAAGGCGCTAAGCACGCGAGTATCAAATAGAACGACAAAGTTACAACATAAGCTACATCGGTTTGTAAGTGTCACCATATTAACACACCCAGACTTAAGATAGTCTCAATTGCGATAGCTCTCGCCTCGTATTCGTATTACAGTCTTTATTTTGGATGTACTCCTTGTGACCTAAATAGTTACGTTTCTACTGAAAACAGTCCTTGATAGATCGATGCTACTTGACAAAGAAAGAAATATTGAATTGGACACCTGAACATCGGAAAATAAAGATTAATCTCTGAGGTGTTTGTGTTCAAATTGTTCTAAAAATACCGCGGAAGCTTAACGTTACTAAATGATTCATAAAGACATCAATTCAGCTCCTGTTGGCCATTAAACACAACAGCGCCCAGTGGGAGAAAAACTTAACTGAATACCATAGCATCCCACTGATCCAACAAAGATGCACCACCGTAAGGAATTAAGGATAGTGGCTAATTATCTGCAAGAGATTTGTTCGTGGTGTAATATAATTCGTCCCTTAACATCATTTTAGCTCCAATTGGCCGTAAAACATTGCAAAGTCTAGTTTGAGAATGATAATAACAGTTTTCAATAGTATCCCACTGATCCAACAAAGATGTACCAATTTAAGGAGGACAATGGCTCATAATCTGCTACGAGGTCGTCTGTGGTGTGATGTTATTCCCCCTAAACAACCTTTCAGGTTCAGTTGACCGTTGGCAACCTGATCTGTGCCTCACACCTCAAGAGAAGACCAATGGGACTTTCTTTTATAAACAACGAGTAGTTTTAACCAGGTATGTGTAATGCCGCAGTTTATTGTACAATCTCTTTTACAAATTAAAATTGAAGTATGTCTGAAAAAGTTAAGTGAAAATCCGTTCCCGCTCAATTGTAGCTCTCTTTTTCCTGAAAAAAGTTTAACAGGCACTAAAAGTAAAGGAAACTACAGATGCTAAAGTTATAACCGGACGTTACAATATATAATTATTATCTATCTTAACTTATGAGCGAAGCCCAATTTCCTACAAAGGTAGCATTTTCTCGTCACCGAATTTTTAGATGATTAATTTTTGAATGGATGACGAAACAGCTGAGACTCCCGATTTCAAGAAATGTAAATTTTCAAGACTATAAATTGCGCTCGACTCGCGGGTTTGAGCAATTTTTGTTTCTGTGCTTATTTACACCAAATTACACTCGAAATCATGTCATTACCTTTTCTTAAAGTCTTTTACAAGCTGTCAAAAATAGCTGACTTTTTCATGCACGCAGTTTCTCATTTTTCCCGCGAATTGATCAGTAAAGATTAAGATTACAAAAGGAGGGAAGGTTGATTTTAAAGCAACAAAATTTCTTTTTTTTTCAATGACCTAGTAAGGAATTTTCTTTCCCAAAAATTTCCTTAAATCAAACATTACCGATAAAAAATGTTCATCTTGTCTTCGCAGGTTTCAAAAATCTGATATGCTTCTCATGGCTGGTCGACATGCTTCATTTTTTATCGTGCTATTTTTCATTTCTCAAACCAGTCAGCAGTGTGGATCTGGCGGCGACCTATACTCCATTTACAAAATGATGCTCAAGGGCCACACTTACAAGACGTTCAAGACTGCACCAGGTACTCTGGAATGCAGAGATGCTTGTCTTGCTGATGTCAGATGTCAAAGCTACAACGTCGTTATGTTCATTGCAATATGCGAGTTGAACAACCAAACTAAAGAGGCCAGACCAGAGGACTTTGTCAAGAACAAGGACAGATATTACATGGCAAAAGGTCCAAACCGAGGTGATAGATAATGCAAAGATTAAAAAGCAGCACTAAAGAAAAGGGGAGGGGAGGGAGGGGGGCGACATTCAACTTATAGCTCGATCTGCGAGCGTAAATTTAAATTTACCCAATATGACGCTCGGCATTGTCATATTTTTTACAGATGTTTCAAATTAAAAGACTGTTAATATTACAGTAAATCATATAGACATTCCACACAAAGTATATCTTAAAGGTGATGAAAACAAACAATATGACTAAACTGACTATCGTGGATTTTACGCTGTCAGCAATTAATCTTTTTTACTCTTGTTCTGTTAAAATTAATCATCTTAATTGCAACTCCCCTCGGATCAATTCGTGAATTTTCTGTGGAGTAGAGCAAGATCAAGGCGAGTGAAGGAGGAAAGGAAGTCAGCGGTAATAATTATTGGATGGATTCAACCCGATCTGTTAACTCTATTTTAGCTCGCTGTGACATGAAGACTGGAGGTTTATACAAGACATGGTTTTTGGCATTTCTTTGTCGTGCCAATGAGTGGACTTTTCTTAACGTCTTTTTTTTCCCCTTATTTTTCAAATGATTCAGAAGCCTTGCACTAAGTTTTAATAATGTCAGAGGAACTTATGAAGCTCTTAAAACCCTTAACCCTATGAGACTCTTGCGATTAAGTTACAATTTTAACGTTAATAATTCAAATTTCCTTTTACATTTCTTTGACTTCGTAGCCCCACACCGTGACTGCAATATTTACCAGACCATAAGAGATGCCAATAGAAAGAGCAGTTACAAAACACGAACTGATTTGTGTGACGACAAACTCCATGTGGGATGGTACCGTTTTGTGGGAGCTGCAGGAACAAAAATGCCAACAAATCTTGTGCCATCATACAGATGTGGTACAGTATACTCCGGTTGGTTGAATGGTTCTCATCTTTCAGTGGAAGATGGTGAAGTTGACAGGAGGGTATGCTTTAGTGATTATAAGAACCATTGCAGGGGCACAACAGTAATTGGCGTGAGAAACTGTGGATCTTACTACATCTACAAACTTCGTCAGCCGTCACTTTGTCGTATGCGCTACTGTGGTACAGACTGACTTTGAAGCAAATGCACTTCACGTAAAAGGAGGATTCAAAAATAAATCTTAAGTTCATGTTCATAAGGGCTTAAGTATGTTCCACACTTCTTTATCATAATCATTTGAAATACATTTGATGTGTTTTAATGCTAGTCACGAACCACCAAAATATGTTATCTAGATGTATTCTCACTCGTAATGTTAACGAAGACCGCTCGCATAGAAAATCAGGAATGAAAATACACTTGGTAAATCCTAAACTAGAAGGTAAATAGTTTAACTGCAATGCCTCTGCATTCATTTATGAGAGATGCGTAGAGGATGATTTCAAGTAACTGGAAATTATGCAAGGCAGAAAACGCGATATTTAGCTCATGGTCATCAAATATTTTATCGACGTTATGGGCTTGTGATGTTTCCGGAAATCAATTACGTATGCTCATTGAATTTGAAGCAATATTAAAGTGCCTATGACACCAATTTTTTGTTTTGGCATTTTCTGGGTGGTAGCTGTTTTTAAAATTAGAAATAATCCACCTAAGCGCCCAGCCAGTTCTCCTTGACCATTTTTTCGTGCATTGAAGGTACGATTTGGCGGCCAAAAAGTGTTCTTATTAAGCGCGCGGCCAAAACGATCATGTTATGTAGCTGTGACGTAGAAAACTGTGACGACACGTCGGCAACTATGGCGGAGAAAGGAAAAAATTCTGAGAACGGACGAACGTATTGCTTGGCCGGAGCGCCAACTGATGTTAGCTACAAGAATAATACACATATACCGGTATTTCTATGCACTACTGTCCAAAGGATGTAGCTGTATGGCCAACAAAGGACGCGTTTCGATCGTCGACATCGAGGACATTTTACTCTTCAACGGTCGTCGGCCTAATTATGCCCCGTAGCGGCTTCGAAGACACTTCTTACGAACACACATCACAAGTCAAATCAGGGGTAGATAACCAATAAGTTCAGCTGAAAAGAATGCTGATTAAGGAGTCTGTTCCCACACCGAACACGATTTTTCACAATTCTTTTCGGCTGACATTTCGCAAGCGAAGAATGGTGAGCTCCTCATTGTTGTTTATTTCATGTGCTTGAGATTTACTCATACTCCTTGTCTTTCCACATGATTACATTTGCGCTTTTCTCATCGTCTGAAAATCCTACCAATTGTAGTTTCCATCGTATTTAAATAACAGAAATACAGCATTTGTAATAAAGTTCTAGCCCTTTCCTGAGCTGACCGATATCCTGTTGCATGAACAGTGCGAAACCTCAGGCGGATACTAGCATAAACAAAAGCTCGAAGGGCTTGGCACGAGCCATCAATTCCCTCCTTTCCTCGAAAAACTAAAATTAGTAACAGTAGCAATGTCATTGTGATGACAGATTTGCAGCGAGATAAAGAAACACAAATATTTTTTGATCAGATGGTAACGAATCCAAGTGCAGTGTGAAAGTCGATGCGTACGAAATATTCATTTATAATATTGATGTCAGTTATTTCCTTTGAGCGGAATGAGTCATACGGAAATGCTGCACTTAAACTTAAGAAGTTTTTCTCTATTAAAATCGCTGTTTAAGATTAACTTGAATCAGATGAATCACTCGTTTTCCATTCGGTTTGACCCGATTTCGTGGTGAAAAATTATTGTGCCCTGTGATACAGCTGATTCTTTCTTCCAAAGTTAGCTTTTGGTTTACTAGGGTAATTTGTCTACAGCAACGAAACTCTAGAGCACTGACCGTGGGAAACTTTCGCCGCACATAGTGCGAAGGAATGAAATATTATGGCAACAGAAACTAACACAGCCACCCATTCTTAATATATTTCACGAAAGAAAACAGGAGATAAACGCTGCAAACTAAACATTCAGTAACCCTTATATCCTTGCGATCCCTTTATGATCTGTCGGAATAAAAGATAAAAAGCAGGATGACAATAGTGGCAACAAACATGCGCCATATGAACCAAAATGGCGCTCGGCAGGAAATACAAACACAACATTGCTTGGGTTTGATTTCAGTTTTGAACTCTCAGGTACTTGTTAACATCTTTTGTAATAGCACATCATATTACAAGACATTCCCTTCTGTTTCACGGCAATACAACGTCACACAATGTGAAGGTATGTCAATGAACCGGAAAGGTTCCTTTTTTTTGCCACTGAATGATGCCTGTTTCATAACTGTTTCCTTTCTATGCTAAATTATCAAGTATCGCTTGTTCTAGGCTTAAATTTTAATATCTGGCGTAACGTGAAAGTTTGGATGCATACACCACAAAAACATTTGCAGAGAGATTTGTAAACGAAATGTTGCCTAGTCAGCATTTGCGAAGGCCGGCGCGCTCATACTGGTCTAACGAAGGAATAGGGAATTTCGAAATGCCTCTTCATGTCATAACCAACTTCCAAATCTTCTTGCAAGAGCCAGATAGAGAAGAAAGAGCGAAAATTGTCAAATCACCAAAAAGTTTTGTAGGTAATGGCGCATTCTCCTCTTCTGGACGCTTCAATAGGAGATTTTCACACCTACTTTTCGTTTCTGTTGGCTCTCTGTGTCCTATATGGTCTTACATTGCAACGGGAAGTTAATGCATGAGAACGAACTGGAAAAATAACACATGCAAGTGATATGTAGCTCAGGGGAAAATTTGGTAAAAGTGTCATTAAAAAAGAGGCTAAATAAAGAATTAAACGAATCAACTTTACAAAAAATATGTGATAATATGTTTATTCAACCACTCTCCATTTTGAGCTTTAACGCAGCCATATACGGACATTTTGCTTAAGCAGACACGTTGTAGCAGTTTGACAGAGCGATGACGTCTATTTCTCCCACATTAATGGAATATCTACACGTAATGCGATTTACACCTTTAGCTGATTAGCTGGAGCTATAGGGTGTGAAGATATTACCAACCAAAAATCTGGGCCATTCGCTTATTCTTTATTCAAGAAGATATGATAACAACTGAGTTGGTTCAACGCCTTGCAGTCGCACTGTTTTGCTTGAGGAACACGTTGATACTTTGTGGTAAGTGCGAAAGCAGTAATTGCAAATTTATTCGCATCTCGACTAGGTCGACTGTTCATTGCGTCTTTTTTAACCGTCGAGCCGAGCTTTCATTGTAAGGGACGGACATTCCAAAGAAAATTGAAGAAATAATCGTTCACGATTGGGACTAATCACGAGGTAACCTGAAAAGAGTATAGTCATATCTTGGTTTTTAGAATGTTAACCAAAAAGAATGCCGAAAACTCTCGCTGTGATCATAATGTCAACCTTGACTTTCGTTTACTTGTTTATCCAAGAATTTCCTTTCTATGGCATTAAGCTTTGGAATTTCAGGCAATCCTTTTGCTTCCTTTTAGGATTTTCAAATTAATTTAGTTTATTTATTTGTCATAGGGTGCGCCTGATCCATTTTCAAGGAGTAGGTTCTTTGGATAAAATCCAAGAAGAAAATTAATAACAAACGCGATCTGGCCTATTTTGGACCATAAAAAAATTATTCGACAGAAAACCGGAAAACTATCGCTGAGATAATTATATTCAACCTGATTTTCAGCCGTTTCCAAAAATTTTTATCGGCGTTTCTGATGTACATTATCGTCTAACAGCAGTTTTCGCAAGAATTACTTGTTTTTAGAATAAGATATAACATCATAGGCTCTAATTTCGCGTCAAGAAACCCCTTCACTTAGATCTTCTTGCGTAAGCTTTTCATTTAGATTTTAGCTTTAACCTTCTGTTAACTTACATGTATGGAAAATTACATCTGCTCCAAAATAATCTGGATGAAAATTTGGAAACGAAAAAAGTCCTTCAGTATTAGCAAGGCACGTGCTCATTAATTCCTATCGGGAAGACTGACACTTCGACGACAAGTCCGTCGATCAAACCATTGGAGTTTAGTTTTTCAACTCAATCAATCAATCAAATCCCCTATTTTAAAACGATAGTAGCTAAAGCTGTAAAGCTTCAACTGGATTCATTTGTTGCTTTTCTCGTCGATTCATTTTTTTTTGATCTTCAAGAACACTCTTGGATTCTATCAATTGCTTATTGAACCGCATATTTACTCTGAAGAAAAACTTTTGGATTGGAAATCCAGTTCTTATAGAGTTACGAAAACATTGTCTTAATACTGCATATGGAAAGGAAATTATAAGCCGTGCATAAATTTCTTGGTTCCTTGAATACTTTTCGAAAATGATGCCAAGATTCTTGCTAAGGCAACTGAGTTAACACTTAATCTTTGGTGACATACAGAAAGCTTTCTTATTTGGTGTTAACAACAGATATACTTTCAAGAGTCGCATTTTAATCGACCAAAGTAAGAAAGTGGTTTTAAATTAAAGGAACAGCGTCGCTGTGCGCTGTGACACGTCTAAAAGTTTAAAACAGGTGAGGAACTGTTTCATATTTCAAATTCGTCGTTGGAACTGGTTGTGGATTTCTATTGTTCTCTATCTATGGCATCAGCGGGTGATTCTTTTTAAAACACGATTTTTTCTTATATTAAAATCTACACCGTGTTTTTGCCTTCACTTTCTTCGGTAATAATTTGCCGGCTGAGGCTGCGTTTAGAGTTTTGTCCTTTCGTTCATTTGTGTTGTCCATGGTTAAATTGCCGCCATTGCGGACGAAGGCAAGTATGAATATTGGAAATCCTCTATAGCTACCCTTAATGAAGAGGTCAGCTTTAAAAATCGCATAACAACACTAAGCAGTCTTTGAAGGTTGAAGATAAAGACGAAGATGGCGATACGGTTTACTATGATTTCCAATTCAATCATTCTTCGCTCACTCGAAAGATGAGAGCAGTCTAACGCGCTCTTCTTCTGGATTGTATCTTTTTTTTTCCAATTCTAAGTTGTATCTTTCTCGGTAAAATGTGTGCGGTGTATGATTTATGAAGAGGAAGGTTTGTGAGAATTGTGTGGAGGGAACTACACACAGAACGCAACAGTACACAACAAACAACCGCCATCTTGGATAATGAGAGTTCT